CGGGAGTGATGGTGATGGGCTACCACTGGGGCCCCAGGGGTGTGATGGTGATGGGCCACCACTGGAGCCCCAGGGTGTGATGGTGATGGGCCACCACTGGAGCCCCAGGGGAGTGATGGTGATGGGCGACCACTGGAGCCCCAGGGGAGTGATGGTGATGGGCCACCACTGGAGCCCCAGGGGTGTGATGGTGATGGGCGACCACTGGAGCCCCAGGGGAGTGATGGTGATGGGCCACCACTGGGGCCCCAGGGGTGTGATGGTGATGGGCCACCACTGGGGCCCCAGGGGTTTGATGGTGATGGGCCACCACTGGGGCCCCAGGGGTGTGATGGTGATGGGCCACCACTGGGGCCCCAGGGGAGTGATGGTGATGGGCCACCACTGGGGCCCCAGGGGAGTGATGGTGATGGGCCACCACTGGGGCCCCAGGGGAGTGATGGTGATGGGCCACCACTGGGGCCCCAGGGGTGTGATGGTGATGGGCCACCACTGGAGCCCCAGGGGTGTGATGGTGATGGGCCACCACTGGGGCCCCAGGGGTGTGATGGTGATGGGCCACCACTGGAGCCCCAGGGGTGTGATGGTGATGGGCCACCACTGGGGCCCCAGGGGAGTGATGGTGATGGGCCACCACTGGAGCCCCAGGGGTGTGATGGTGATGGGCCACCACTGGAGCCCCAGGGGAGTGATGGTGATGGGCGACCACTGGAGCCCCAGGGGAGTGATGGTGATGGGCCACCACTGGAGCCCCAGGGGTGTGATGGTGATGGGCCACCACTGGAGCCCCAGGGGTGTGATGGTGATGGGCCACCACTGGAGCCCCAGGGGTGTGATGGTGATGGGCCACCACTGGAGCCCCAGGGGTGTGATGGTGATGGGCCACCACTGGAGCCCCAGGGGTGTGATGGTGATGGGCCACCACTGGGGCCCCAGGGGAGTGATGGTGATGGGCCACCACTGGGCCCCAGGGGTGTGATGGTGATGGGCCACCACTGGAGCCCCAGGGGTGTGATGGTGATGGGCCACCACTGGGGTCCCAGGGGAGTGATGGTGTTGGGCCACCACTGGGGCCCCAGGGGTGTGATGGTGATGGGCCACCACTGGGGCCCCAGGGGAGTGATGGTGATGGGCCACCACTGGGGCCCCAGGGGAGTGATGGTGATGGGCCACCACTGGGGCCCCAGGGGAGTGATGGTGATGGGCCACCATTGGGGCCACAGGGAGTGATGGTGATGGGCCACCACTGGGGCCCCAGGGGTGTGATGGTGATGGGCCGCCATTGGGGGCCACAGGGGAGTGATGGTGATGGGCCACCACTGGGGCCCCAGGGGTGTGATGGTGATGGGCCACCACTGGGGCCACAGGGGAGTGATGGTGATGGGCCACCACTGGAGCCCCAGGCGAGTGATGGTGATGGGCCACCACTGGAGCCCTAGGGGAGTGATGGTGATGGGCCACCACTGGGGCCCCAGGGGTGTGATGGTGATGGGCCACCACTGGAGCCCCAGGGGAGTGATGGTGATGGGCCACCACTGGAGCCCCAGGCGAGTGATGGTGATGGGCCACCACTGGAGCCCTAGGGGAGTGATGGTGATGGGCCACCACTGGGGCCCCAGGGTGTGATGGTGATGGGCCACCACTGGAACCCCAAGGGTAGTGATGGGCCAAACTGGTGGGACAGGGAAGGGGGCCAATGTAGCAGTTTGATTCCCTGTGAGCTATAAAATTGTAAGAACATCTCAGTTCAGGAGTAAAAAGAACAATTGCCTACGTCACACCCTTGGTGGAGAAGTTGTTAGTGCGTAGTTTTCAATGTTACTAAGATACAGCCAGCTCTCCTGAAGTGCCTGGACGATAACAATGGAAACGGGAGTTTTGCGCCATATTTTATCACAGTTCAGTGCCAGACATCTCCCAACTGTGCGGCCCCACGACCTCTCCTGCCCCAGGCCAGTTCACCCTCTCCCACCACCGGTCAGCCCCTCTCAGTGTGTGTATATATGTGTACATGTATGTGTACATATATATGTGTGTGTGTGTATGTATATGTTTGTGTATAAAGTACATATCGAAGCTGATCAGAATTACATTTCACCTTTGTAAATGCACATTAATGACACTCTGTAAAAGACACATCGAACACTTTATGTAGGGCATACGTAAATCTTTGTATCAATGTATTTACGTATGTAAGTTAGCTTAGCATTTGAAAAGCACCGAATCACCTTCTGTGGTTGATTGTTCAATAAACCCTTGAACAATATGTTTAACACATCTCTAACCCTGTCCATGGAGGACAGGAGAAAATGTATATATGCTGGTTAGCATTGTAAATGTGTGGCCACGTCTGTGGTAGAAAATTAAAAAAAAAAAAAAAAAGCCCCTCCCACCACCGGTCAGCCCCTCCCACCACCGGTCAGCCTCTCCCACCACCGGTCAGAATCTCCAGTAGAGGAAAGTGTGCATTATCGTTGCAGTTTTGCTTTTTACGACTGCAGGGATATGGTACACTAGTTTTTAGTTACCCCAGTGATATTCGACTGCAACGATATGGCTCTATGTTTTTTCGTTACCCCAGTGAGATTTAACGGCTTCGATCTGGCATACTGATTTTTCGCTACCCACAGTGAGATTAAACGGCCGCGATATGGCCCCATGTTTTTTCGTTGCCTCAGTGGGTGATTGCTCGTCTCCAGGTCTTAGCATTTCATTCAAGGGAATTAAAAAGCCGGTCTATGAGTCGTGTGTTTGGCGTTACAACAGTGACCCTGAAACCTAATGTCGAATAACATCATCCCTGATCTACTTTAAATCTCCTATTTACTTCCAATCTATGTTAAGCAGAACATCAACTCTGTTAGGGCAACGAGCCGTAAAGTACAGTTACGTTACAGAAGTGAAGGAAGGAGAATGGAAGTGAGGGAGAGATACTGAAAGAGACAAAGACCCAGCAACTGGCGGGTAATAAATCTGGAAAAAGAGACAATCTACCTGTTTGTCTGATAAAGATTGGAGGGTAATTATCAGGAGAAAGTGATAAGCCATTACAACTACATAGCATGCGGAAGGGATGGGGATAAGGATTTAGGATTAGGAAATAATAGTGCCCAACCACTTGGACGGTCGGGGACTGAACTCCGACCTTCCAACATTGGAAGCCAGACTCTTTGAGATATCTGGTGTTTTTTGGAGTCTCGTTGTGTAGCCGGGGTAAGCCTCTTAGCCTCCTTTCAGGAGAATTGGCCTACGGACCTACTTCACGAAGAGTCTAGCATTCCTTGAAATATTAATGTTTTCAGATAGTGCCATGCAGAAGTAATGTCCAGATGGCAGATCTGCGTTCTGCGAACACCATTTTAATTACAGTGATGTAGCTAGTGTGTAGAAAACATGTTCACGTCATTAGGGGGATGGTCAGAGTTTGTGAGTGAAGACGGGGAAGGTGTGTGTAAGTGGTATAGTTTAAAAAGCTTACAGTGACGACATTGTGTTGTGAAAATAGCTAGAGTGATGTGGCGAGGCGGTGAAGGTGAGTTGGGGGAAGGAAGGGCTGACAGAGAGGTGTGTGTTATGAGGGAGACATGGAGAGTGGGAAGTCAGGAGACCTGGGAGCGTGTGTCATGAGGGACATTGGGAGAGAGACCTGGGATAATGTGTGTGATTGGGAAGAGGACCTGGGAGGATGTGTGTGATTGTGAGGAGGATCTAGGAGGATGTGTGATAGGGGAGATAGGGTGAGAGACTTGGGAGGAAGTGAGAGACCTGGGCACAGGGTCTCCCTGTTCACCACCGGAGGAGCCATCTAGTTGTTTCATAAATAATACCTTCAAAAGGTATTTCAGTTACATATATTTCTAGTTTCAGACGCCAGAAATCATCCCAAACATTCATATAAAATGACTCGTTTAATAGTTTCTGTAATGGAGGAAATGGTGCCGAACGGAGCGGCTGTCTGAAGTTCAAGAAGTGAGGACGACCTTGGAGGAGGTAGCCGGGAGAACAGTCATGACGCCGCTGGTCGTGCTGCTGGTCGCGCTGGCAGCCACCGCCTTCGCTTCACTATTCTCTGCTCGCCTTCATGGTAAGACAGACTCGTACATTACATCGGTAAGACAAGCGCTTGTAATACAATGGTAAGACAGGCTCTTGTCTTACCAGTGAGTAGGCTGACTGAGTTGTTCAGCTCAGGTTTCATTTAAAAGATCGAAACTCTCTCTAAAATCTTCAGTTCAAGGCAAGACCAACTCTTTAGGCAAAGATATAATGTTAAACAATATTTTTTCCTTCGTGTATCTAAGAGCATTTCGAATTGTTAGGCCTGAGTTCTTAAGACTTGAGAGCTTGAAAATGTTGATTCTACTGACTTCAAGCTTTGCTATCCACTAAGTTTCTTGGAGGCGTGTCATAGCTAAGCTCAACATGTTGTCACGGGGGAAGATAAAGGGCAGAGCTTCGTCGAGCTCCATCAGGGACACTCCGTCACTGCTCTCACTACAGTGATCTTAAAGTCGACCCTGTACTCCCTTTCCCTCGTGATCAAGTCGGCGCTTAACCCCTGTGTACACCAGCCTCCAAAACACAGGGACCTCAAATCACCTTCGGGGACTCACTAGACTACTTTCTGTCCCTAGAGTGTGGGGGGAGGGGGGGGGGTAGAGCAGTAGGTGTCAAGGAGTGACAGGTGTCTACCTCGGACACCTGGTTATCCAGCTACTTCTGTGATCATCAGGGTTCTCACCTGCGCCCAGCGCGGAATAAATGACTTCAAATCTCTGCTCTAGTCCTTTTGAACACGAGACTACGTTCCCCAATTTCATTTAATCTTTATTCCTGTACCCAGTGGCTAGTACCCAACTGTCAGGCTTTCACACACACACACACACACATTTTATATATATATATATATATATATATATATATATATATATATATATATATATATATATATATATATATATATATATAGATACTTTACAAATTTAAATAATTATCAGAATATGGAGCTGAGCCAGTACATCAGTATAGGACTTGGATGGGACACGAGGACAGGGAGCTGGACATCGAGCATGGAGTGTAGGAACGAAGCGTACATTAACACAAAATTCAAGTTATTTCTACCCAGCAGGAACTACGGAAACGTTAACTGTAGCAGGAAAGGTTGTGGAAGACGTGCTGAAGAATGTACCAGAACCAAAGTGCTTTTTTGTGTTGATCACTCATGAAAGTACCCATCTGGCGAATTTCTTTGAGGTGAGTGAATGTTATTACAGAAGACGGATTTTTTTATTTTGTCTTCAAGTGAAACTCCTCCTAATGTTACATGTTATACAAAGATATACAAAAATGTTGAAAGATAAGTATATGATTTACATGTCAGACAATCATATGAAAATATTAACATAGCTTTAATGACGAATAAAAGAAAGCGGTTTATTCTTAACTCTAAAATAGTTTTTAACTATTTTATGGTATTCGAGTAAGTGGTATATAAGATAAGAGAAGTTGTTTCTTAACGATGCTATTCGATGTGTTTATAGCTTGGAGAGAATGAAGCTCTTCATGACTCATACCATCAAACATGCTCAAGTGGAAAGATAAATACTTAAATAATTTGACTAATAAATTGTAAATCTATAGGCCTATTAGTTTCATGATAGTATTTTAATCTGTTGTATTTTAAGCTGTTGGATTTCAATCTGTTGTATTTTAAACTGTTGTAGACTCGTCATATGTAGCTGTAACTTGAAGACCTTACTCTGCTTCAGGAAGGAAACAGCCTTCGAGTTCCTTTTGGTTTAGTGATGATGGAGGTGTCAGCGGGGGGGCCAGACGCTAACGTGACGCTGACGCAGCTCTCCCGGGTGGCAGCCGAGGCTCGGCGGGTAGGTCACTCTCACATTACTGCTGATGCTGGTAGGTCACTCTCACATTACTGCTGATGCTGGTAGGTCACTCTCACATTACTGTTGGTGCTGGTAGGTCACTCTCACATTACTGCTGATGCTGGTAGGTCACTCTCACATTACTGCTGATGCTGGTAGGTCACTCTCACATTACTGCTGGTGCTGGTAGGTCACTCTCACATTACTGCTGGTGCTGATAGGTCACTCTCACATTACTGCTGATGCTGGTAGGTCACTCTCACATTACTGCTGATGCTGGTAGGTCACTCTCACATTACTGCTGGTGCTGGTAGGTCACTCTCACATTACTGCTGGTGCTGGTAGGTCACTCTCACATTACTGCTGGTGCTGATAGGTCACTCTCACATTACTGCTGGTGCTGATAGGTCACTCTCACATTACTGCTGGTGCTGATAGGTCACTCTCACATTACTGCTGATGCTGGTAGGTCACTCTCACATTACTGCTGATGCTGGTAGGTCACTCTCACATTACTGATGATGCTGGTAGGTCACTCTCACATTACTGCTGATGCTGGTAGGTCACTCTCACATTACTGCTGATGCTGGTAGGTCACTCTCACATTACTGTTGGTGCTGGTAGGTCACTCTCACATTACTGCTGATGCTGGTAGGTCACTCTCACATTACTGCTGATGCTGGTAGGTCACTCTCACATTACTGCTGATGCTGGTAGGTCACTCTCACATTACTGATGATGCTGGTAGGTCACTCTCACATTACTGCTGATGCTGGTAGGTCACTCTCACATTACTGCTGATGCTGGTAGGTCACTCTCACATTACTGCTGATGCTGGTAGGTCACTCTCACATTACTGCTGATGCTGGTAGGTCACTCTCACATTACTGCTGATGCTGGTAGGTCACTCTCACATTACTGCTGACGCTGGTAGGTCACTCTCACATTACTGCTGATGCTGGTAGGTCACTCTCACATTACTGTTGGTGCTGGTAGGTCACTCTCACATTACTGCTGATGCTGGTAGGTGACTCTCACATTACTGCTGATGCTGGTAGGTCACTCTCACATTACTGCTGACGCAGGTAGGTCACTCTCACATTACTGCTCATTACTGCTAACGCTGGTAGGTCACTCTCACATTACTGCTGACGCTGGTAGGTCACTCTCACATTACTGCTCATTACTGCTAACGCTGGTAGGTCACTCTCACATTACTGCTGATGCTGGTAGGTCACTCTCACATTACTGCTGGTGCTGGTAGGTCACTCTCACATTACTGCTGGTGCTGGTAGGTCACTCTCACATTACTGCTGACGCTGGTAGGTCACTCTCACATTACTGCTCATTACTGCTAACGCTGGTAGGTCACTCTCACATTACTGCTGATGCTGGTAGGTCACTCTCACATTACTGCTGGTGCTGATAGGTCACTCTCACATTACTGCTGACGCTGGTAGGTCACTCTCACATTACTGCTGATGCTGGTAGGTCACTCTCACATTACTGCTGATGCTGGTAGGTCACTCACACATTACTGCTGATGCTGGTAGGTCACTCTCACATTACTGCTGATGCTGGTAGGTCACTCTCACATTACTGCTGATGCTGGTAGGTCACTCTCACATTACTGCTCATTGTGGTAGGTCACTCACATTACTGCTGATGCTGGTAGGTCACTCTCACATTACTGCTGGTGCTGGTAGGTCACTCTCACATTACTGCTGATGCTGGTAGGTCACTCTCACATTACTGCTGATGCTGGTAGGTCACTCTCACATTACTGCTGATGCTGGTAGGTCACTCTCACATTACTGCTGGTGCTGGTAGGTCACTCACACATTACTGCTGATGCTGGTAGGTCACTCTCACATTACTGCTGATGCTGGTAGGTCACTCTCACATTACTGCTGATGCTGGTAGGTCACTCTCACATTACTGCTCATTGTGGTAGGTCACTCACATTACTGCTGATGCTGGTAGGTCACTCTCACATTACTGCTGGTGCTGGTAGGTCACTCTCACATTACTGCTGATGCTGGTAGGTCACTCTCACATTACTGCTGATGCTGGTAGGTCACTCTCACATTACTGCTGATGCTGGTAGGCCACTCTCACATTACTGCTGATGCTGGTAGGTCACTCTCACATTACTGCTGATGCTGGTAGGCCACTCTCACATTACTGCTGATGCTGGTAGGTCACTCTCACATTACTGCTGATGCTGGTAGGTCACTCTCACATTACTGCTGATACTGGTAGGTCACTCTCACATTACTGATGATGCTGGTAGGTCACTCTCACATTACTGCTGGTGCTGGTAGGTCACTCTCACATTACTGCTGATGCTGGTAGGTCACTCTCACATTACTGCTGATACTGGTAGGTCACTCTCACATTACTGCTGGTGCTGGTAGGTCACTCTCACATTACTGCTGGTGCTGGTAGGTCACTCTCACATTACTGCTGATGCTGGTAGGTCACTCTCGCATTACTCAGACTCTGTTGCAAGTACACCTATGTCTTGATGCACCTTGCAATACTGTACAGATGTAATTTTTTTAGAATTCTAATAAGGATTAGTTGACCTTGAATGATCACTACCATTGAAAATGGGAATAAATATGCAATTATAGAAAATGGACAGATAAAGGGAAGATGAAGACTAGCTGATCAACGACGTCATAAAACATTAGAAATTGCTGGAGCCACTCGTACTGTCTGGGTATCTAAATTTAGGGATGGCAGAAGGGTGCTGTTTAATCTCCTTGGTGAAATAATGTGTATCAGAAGGGAGCCGTTAAATCTCGTTTGGAAAAATATATTTAGCGGTAGAGTACTGTCGAGGTTGATGTAAAAATTTACTAAGAGAAATCGGAGCCATGGAGTTTCATGGGGGAATAATTTTGTCTATGCCTACAAGGAATAATTGCGATTCATGGAAAATTTAACGATTCCTATGAGGATCAACTGTGGTCCAAGAAAATTTTACTATGCCTATGAAGAAAACTGTGATTCATAAAGGAAAAATATTGATTAGGCCTACGAGGAATAACTGTGGTTCATGGTAAACCTATTTCACTAAGCCTATAAACAATAAATGATTCATGAAATATTTCACTATGCCCACGAGGAATAATCGAAAAAAACTAAAATAAATCCTCGGAGGCATACTCCCCACTACTACTAATGACGCGGGTAGGTCACTTACGCATCACTACTCACATCACTAGTGAGGCGGGTAGGTCACTCTCACATCACTAGTGAGGCGGGTAGGTCACTTTCGCATCACTAGTGAGGCGGGTAGGTCACTTTCGCATCACTACTGAGGCCGGTAGGTCACTCTCACATCACTAGTGAGGCGGGTAGGTCACTCTCACATTACTAGTGAGGCGGGTAGGTCACTCTCACATCACTAGTGAGGCGAGTAGGTCACTCTCACATCACTAGTGAGGCAGGTAGGTCACTCTCACATCACTAGTGAGGCGGGTAGGTCACTCTCACATCACTACTGAGGCGGGTAGGTCACTCTCACATCACTACTGAGGCAGGTAGGTCACTCACACATCACTACTGAGGCGGGTAGGTCACTCTCACATCACTACTGAGGCGGGTAGGTCACTCTCACATCACTACTGAGGCGGGTAGGTCACTCTCACATCACTACTGAGGCGGGTAGGTTACTCTCACATCACTACTGAGGCGGGTAGGTCACTCTCACATCACTACTGAGGCGGGTAGGTTACTCTCACATCACTACTGAGGCGGGTAGGTCACTCTCACATCACTACTGAGGCGGGTAGGTCACTCTCACATCACTACTGAGGCGGGTAGGTCACTCTCACATCACTACTGAGGCGGGTAGGTCACTCTCACATAACGTCTACCATGTTGACGTCAACAGGTGCGGCAGGTGTCATGGTGCGCGACGGTGGTGGTGGTGAGCGACGACCTCGCCTTCCTCGCCGCCTTCGCCCAGTGGTCCCTCAAGGGCCGCCTCCTGGTGTGGTCGACGAGGCTCCTGGTCGTCACCCGCCTCCCCCTCCACCACCTGCAGGTCCTCCGCGAATTGCTCTCCGTGACCAACTCTATGCTGCTCGTGGTAGAAAATGACTCGAAAAGTCAACGGTAAATATTATTGTCGTGCTCTGAATGATGATAATGTTAAAACTTAAAATGAAACATGTTAGTACGTGCTCAAGGAATATTTATAATATCGAACGTCGGTCGCTGTACAGGTGCAGTGTGTACATCCAGCTGCCATTCAGTCCCAGGGAAGCCCAGGCGCTGAAGGTGGCCTCCTGGACGCCCCACAGTGGCTTCGCCCTCACCTCCAGCCTCCCGTTCTTCCCTGACAAGTTCTCCAGGTGAGTACAGTAAAGTTTCCACGAAGTCTAATCCCAGAAGGTAGCGTCCTGGACCAAGGCCTTCTCACCCCCTCTCCCTTGTTATCACTAGTTCTTCAGTTTATTAAATTTAATTGGTACAAGCACACACACACACACATGCAGTTTCATCGTTGGCCAGCTCATTCAACCAAATTTCTCTCTCTCGCTCTCTCTCTCTCTCTCTCTCTCTCTCTCTCTCTCTCTCTCTCTCTCTCTCTCTCTCTCTCTCTCTCTCTCTCTCTCTCTCTCTCTCTCTCTCTCTCTCTCTCTCTCTCTCTCTCTCGCTCACTCTCTCTCGCTCACTCTCTGTCTCTCTCTTTCTCTCTCTCTCGAAATTCGTAAGAGGATTTGCGTCTCTACAACCGTAAATTATTCACACCAAATATAACTCAAAGTGGGTCAGAGAGAGAGAGAGAGAGAGAGAGAGAGAGAGAGAGAGAGAGAGAGAGAGAGAGAGAGAGAGAGAGAGAGAGAGAGAGAGAGAGAGAGAGAGAGAAGGAGAGAGAGAGAGAGAGAGAGAAAGAGAGAAAGCAAAGAAAGAAAGAGAGAGGAGGGGAAAGAGAGAGTTGGGAGAGGGGGGAAAGATAGGGAGGGACAGGGAGAGAGGAAGGGGGAGAGAGAGGGAGTCTGCTCTGGCACTCTGGATTAGAAGTAAGTAATTATCAAAAGAAGGCACCAAACCGGGAAGGCTATGTAGCACCATCAAATGTGCGGAATAATCAGAGGGCGCTAAATATCACCAAGGATGCCAATACGAAAACAAAAACGCATAAGGCGAACGATATCATAAAGTATCCGAGTCACCAAGAATTCTATTGATGGACAAGCGACCGCGAGGGGCGGTCGGAAAGCAAGACACACGCTCGTCCTGGAAGTCAGGACATTCAAGAAGGACATGCACGACCGTAAGAGGGACAATGCAATTAGGACAATAAGGAGCAGGGCGGCGCTCCATCAAGTAACCATGGGTTAAGCGAGTATGGCCAATACGCAACCTCGCCAGAGCTGTTTCCGATCGCCGATTACGGTGGTAGGAGGACGGCCACGAGGAAACACAACATTTAAGAGTATGTAGTTTGTTACCAGTAACAGACGACCAAGAAGCCTGCCAACGGGTAAGGTCGGAGGAATAGATAACCGGGTAAAAGTCAGAATATGGAATACCTTTACGAGAGATGGGACAAGAGCGGACAGCTTCCTTGGCGGCAGCATCCACATGCTCATTTAAAGACACACCAATATGGCTGGGAACCCAACAAAACTCAACCAACTTAAATTTACTGTGAACAAGTAACACCCAATGCTGGATCTTGACAACTACTGGATGAACCGGATTAAAGGACCCGAGAGCCATGAGGGCACTACGCGAGTCAACAACAACTACAAAGGAAGACTGACAACGAGAAAGCAGGAGACGAAGAGCATAGAGAATAGCATAAAGCTCCGCTGTAAAGATGCTTGTCTCCAGAGGTAAGTGACACATATAATTGCGATCAGGAAAAACAACAGAGTAGTGTGACAGTGTTCCCCCCCCCCCCTTATATTTCTCCCACGCCTGCTGTAAGAGTCATGTCCACTTTACCCGAGCGTTCTCTACGACGCAGGCATCAGTTTGGTATATGTGGGAGGAAGTAGTGTTCTCGAAGTGCCGAGAAATTTATCAAAGAAGAGTATTTTGGCCGGTGGTTTAGGCCCTTTAGGAAGCCAATATGGCGCTGGCTCTTCTGTTTTCCCGCCAAAACGGTGTGACGTCAGTGACACCAGATTGGTCGCCGACAGCGACGTGGCACAGGGAGCCAATGAAAACCTCCCGTGGCGAATGTGACGTCACGAAGGAAGGGGGGACCGGTCAGAGCGCCACGGCGGCGCCATCAGTCTAAGACAGCACGTCAAGGAGGTCGGACGTGCGCTGGGGGGTCCTGTCAGTTGGACAGTTTACCCCGTCTCCGGAGGACTTACGCATCATCTGTGGTCTGCCATCACCTGTGGGGTCTTCCTTAGTTCATGTGTTGGACCAGAGAAGGAATTGACAGAATATTGAGCAACAAGTGCTCCAGGAACAGGTGTTGTGCAAGAGTGGAGTCTAGGCAGCGACGTATGCGACGGCTGATAGCTCCACAGTGATGACGTAGTGGATGGACCAATCCTCCGGAGGGAATCAGTCTGACACAACACGTCAAGGTGGTTGGACGTGCGAAGATTGGTCCTGTCAGTTTGACAGTTGTTTCCCGCTCCCGTGGATTTTACGCGTCACCCGAAGTCTGCCAGTACTCTGTGAGGTCTTGCTTCGTTCATGTGTTGGACCAGAGAGGGAATCGACGGGATATTGAGCAACAAGTGCTCCAGGACAGGTACTGTGCAAGAAGAAGTGAAGTCCGTGCAATGACGTATGTGACGTCTGAGGCAGTTCACCCGTTTCTGACGGAGTAATGGCTGGACCGAGTCACCGGGAAGCAGTGGAAGAAGAAAACTATTTGGGAATCCGAACGACTGCAGCTGAGACGTAGGCGGGCAGCCGTAGCTGGGAGGAGAAGTTGTCGGCCGGGAGACCGACTCCAACCCTACAAGAAGTCGAGGAGGAGCACGGACCTGCAGTGAAAAGGCACGGAGACGACGCGCTTACGGTGGGACGTTGATTGAGTTCCTGGAGGACACAACAGTGTGCGTGTGGGGGCTCCTACACAAGGCAGGAGCCAGGACCAGGAGCTGTAACTCAACTCTCACCGGAGGATAGGTGGAAGTAGGTGATTCTAGTTTCTCTCCCAATTCCCCTTTAGTCAGCTATATTATTCAGAATGAGTATTTTGTATGTCGTGAGCAAGGCTCACCTATGTCACAGTAAGGCACAAGTGTGCAGTGGGACTATAAAGAGTACTCACGATATTTATGATTATTATTGGTGTGTACAGGCATCCCGGAGTAATTGATGAATTTATTGTGTTGATAACGTCTTTCATGAGACTTTAATAAGATCATTTAGTGAGAGAATATATATATATAAATATGCCAGTGTTTGGAGTTAGGCTATGTGCCCAGTAACTATGTTATTATCATTATTGATGTCTGACTCATCCATATACATATATATGTCTATGCTCGTGTATTGAATAATCATTCATGTGTGCAGTGATTAATTGTGTTATCGCCCACGAAAGGAATTACTGAGAACTCCAGTGATATATACTTGCATACGTTATCATTAAATGAAGGGCAGTGTGTAATACCATGACAGTGAATTATTGTCACCTTTAATATAGAAATGTTTGATTGAGCCCAAGATCAGTGCAGCGAAGTGTTTACGTGCTATTGTCGCAAATATTGTGTGTTCGAACTTCTAGTGATCTTTGAGAACTTAAAGAAACTGGCGCGTCACGCCACAAGCAAACAGATAAAGTGACATTCGCGCGGGGGTAGTCGCCCGGCTGATTTTGACATTGACGTGAGGGGGAGCATTGCCAGCTTGGCGAGTTCATATTATATGTGGGAACGAGCGGCTCCCGCCTGAAACAGCTGTTTGCTTATTGATATAATCTTGTGATGTCTTTGAATGAGTTTTAAGTAAAATACAAAGTACATTGGTGTTTATATCATCCCCTCCATATTTTTTGTGGCTATATAAAACCTGAAAGCAGATAGAGATAGAAGTAAATTCCTGCCTGATATCAGACATATTGAGTGTGCTCTTGCCACTGTTACCACAATTCAACAAAACCACTGATGTGTTACTGGACACCGAAAACACCAGTTGGCGACCTTGTGGTTAGTAGTAGAGCCCTATGTTGGGGCGGGCATACAACAGTTAAGTGAACAAGTTGTGTTCCCACTCCTTCTCGATCAGAGGCCGGTTGGGATTGACTGGGATACTCTCCTGGCGTACAGTGGCACCGCGAGGAAAGAGTGAAGACCCGCAAGGCTACGGTGAGTGACCTTGAGTATACTGGTGCTCGCCGAGGAACCCCGACAGTAGCCAACACCATCCGCAGACTTAGAGCCATCGTTGAAGACAGAAACGGAGCGGGAGTGAGAAGAAAAGTGCTCAAGAAAACGGCGTTTTAGAACTGTACCAGGGGTAAAAGCTTTAGTGATGCGGGTCAAGGATGTACAAAACTGCGGAAGGGGGACCCTCCACGGGGGCAAAGAAGGAACAACACGAGGAGAAACCTTAGAAACACGAACGGAAAGAGAATCCTGTAAGCGAGATAACCGGACAGAAAGAGGGAGGTGGTGAAGAGGAACAGGAACCGCAGGAGGGGTAAAAGTTAAAGCACGACAGAGGCGAGAGGAAGGATGTTGAAAGGACCGCACAAGATAGCGAAGACAGTAGCAATCATGGCGGTCCTGGAGAGACAGGAAGCCAGTGTCAAATTACAAGCTAAGGACGGGAGTCAAACGAAAGGCACCAGAATTGAGGCGCAATCCAGTATGGTGCAAAGCATCAAGACAGCGAAGAGTAGAAGGAGAATCAGACGAGTAAGCAGGGCAACCATATTCGAGCTTAGACAGGACGAGAGAGGAATGTAAAGCAAGGAGAGTGCGCCTTTCCGTTCCCCAAGAAGTATGGGACAAGACCCGAAGAAGGGTAAGGGCCTTAGAGCACTCAACAAGGAGGTAAGAGATATGGGGAGACCAAGACAAACGAGTGTCAAGGAATAACCCCAAAAGCTTCGCAGAATCTTTGTACTCAAGGGGATGACCATAAAGTGACAAAGAGGGACGAAGAACGACCCGTTTCTGAGTAAAAGACATGGCATAAGTCTTAGAAGTAGAGAACTTGAAACTATGACCGATGGCCCAAGATGACACGGCATCAATCGCAAGTTGAAGCCGGTGCTGAAGGAGAGGCGAATCAACCACCCTGACAGCAAAGGGTAAGATCATCGATATAGAGAACAGAGAAGATATCCGAAGGAAAAGAGGAAAGAAGACCATTGAGGGCAACCAGAAAAAGAGTAGTGCTCAGAACACTACCCCTGGGGCAC